TTCTGTTCTTTCTTTATTCTATCCTTTATTTCTTCTAGGTTTGGCTACATGAGTTGATGTGCTCTCACTTCATAGAAGAGCTCTTCAGCCTTTATTTCGAATTCTGTTTCTCTCAATCCTTGTTCCAACTCGTCAACTTTCAAGTCATCCCAGCACGCAGAATCTTTATTCTTGAAGTTATCAAATTCTTCAATGAAGTTCTCTGCTTCGTACTGGGCATGAATTCGAAGGGATGAGAGTTGGTCCAAAGATTGAGTGGTGGCCACAGAGATCCAATGCCAGTGGAGAAGCGAAGGAAGTTGGTCCAAAAACATGTAAAGCTCTGCTTGGGCGAGGGGATTGAGGACATGACCCCGAGTCAGAATATCACAAGCCCATCGAAGGTTCTTGACAGGGACTTCGTCCTCAAGAACATTGAAGGGCAAGTGAGAGAAAGCCGCAAGCAGAAGTTGAGTTTGCTTCCGCTCAGCTGGAGTAGGGGAAGGTGGAGGCTTGTAAGGTGGAAAGACCTTATCTGTGGAGAGGGCAAGCCTCAGTCTCTCTGTCCAATAAGGATTTGGCGGAGGAGAAGGTGTGGATGCTTCTATTTCAAAAGATGGAGCAAAGGCAGAAGGAACAAGGGCATTAATATAATCGAGCCAGTCAGAAGAACAAATCTTCGCCTTCTGGGCTAAGAATGATGGATTGTACCCTTGTGCCTCTTCTAGGCGGCAGGCGGCGTGTACTATCTTTGTAGGCATTGAGGATGTATACCATGCCACAAGAAGATTCTCCTCCAAACTGCGTCAATGGTCAATGGGCACGTAGGGATAGACCACCAAGCTTCGCGTATAGAAAGGGAACTCTAAAGGGTCAGTAAACTCGACAAAGTGATGGTTGATTTGTACCCTCAAATCACAGGCCTCAGGTTTTGGCCAGTTTGTCCAGTCAGAAGCCCTAGAAGAGGAAGAAGTTGCAGCCTTATCCCATGCAGAGGGTTGTGAAGAAGAACTTCCTATGTCCATATTTGCGACTTTCTGAATCAAAGGATTAAGAGCAGTTTGTTCGTAGTCCAAGGGTGAGTCAGAAGAAGAACTTCTCATGTCCATATTTGTAGGTTTCTGAATCAAAGGATTGAGGGTCATATGTTCGAAGTCCAAGGGTTGATAATTTGCAAAGGCATCCATGACCAGAGTATGGAAAGGTGGGTAAAGGTGACTAATTAATGCATGGAGGTTCTTTCGAGGAGGAACAGCATCATCATATGACTCTTCGTGTGCTCGGTCAATGGAGGGAAAAATTGATTCGGCCATAAAAAATGTATCAGTCTGTTCGAATACTAAGGTGGTGGGGGTATTCAAAAGATTGAAGGAGAGTTTAATGCAGATGATGAATGACAGTTGCATTTCTGGGAGAATGCAAAGCCCATGCACGTTCTAAGCGTGGGAAAAAGATCTTGAACCACTAATATCACCAAGTACTGGGTATATTAGTGCGGGGGGTAATGTTGGCTACATATTTTGTACAAGCCAATTACAATTCGACACATGGCAAAATAAGGGTAATATAGGAAGATTATTCAAGTCTTTGATCCTGATCATACACGTGGCAGTTAGTATTGGTTATTACGTGATCTGAGTAGCAGTGGATCAACAAAGAGATGCAAGGTGATATGGCTTCAACAGTTACTTACATTTCAAATTCAAATTTATGAGGGAAGCCTAACTACAAGTAATGGCGTAATGGAGCTAATCTTGGTGCAACATGATCAGCGATCATGGAGGAGCAGTTCGACGGTTGAAAATGCAGTTCGATGGTCGTCCTTGAGTAGTATAAATAGCAGAAAAGGCCCCAGAAAAAACTCTCAGACTCAGATCTAAAAAACCAGTCTCATTCTACTTTATTTCTTTTCTAGTCTTACATTTCCAGTCTTATATTTCCAGTTCTTTACATTTCTGCACTTTAAAATTCCTGCGCTGCACTTCGTTCATAGGAGTAGTTTCAAGTAGATTGTCGCTATAAACCTCTACGAGGCTGAGTTTGGATCATTGTAAATTTTTCATTCTAATGAAATACTTCAATTGTTCTTCCTTTAATTATTATTTTGCTTAATTCTCCTAAGTCAAGCCACCAGTAAAAGTCCTCTTCATTGAGGCTGAAAGAACTAAAACACAATCATCTGATAATTGGTTGGCAATTAATTTTCTGTAAGGACTGATTAATCCTTGCTGGCACGCTCACAATTACAAAAATAACCTTCAAAAGCCAAAATAGCCAACAGTATTCTTTCCCTTATGAATCATGTTTGTCCCCGTATCTGCCTGCTGATGATTCTTGGTCAATGCCACACAATAGAATTCCCCCACTGAATCATCACCCTCCAAAACAACAATTGGGTACTTCCAGGTAATTGCAGACCCAGTCTCCAACTGCATCCATGATATCTTCGATCTAGCCCCAGCACAAACACCTCTTTTTGTCACAAAGTTATAAACCTCTCCCTTCCCTTCATCATCACCGGCATACGAATCTTGCACCATGGACTACTTAATCTCTGCATCCTCACCGCATTACAACTCAATTACTGCAGCATGAAACTGGTTCCTATCATAAGAAGGTGCAGTGCACCCCTCCAAATACTCAACAAAACTCCTATCATCTGCAACTATAAGTGTCCTCTCGAATTGCCCGGTTTCTACTGCATTCATACGAAAATAAGTCAAAATTTCATAGGACACTTTGCATCCTTAGGTATGTAACAAAATGACCCATCACTAAACACAGCTGAATTCAAAGCTGCATAGTAATTATCATCAGATGGAACAACCTTGCCAAAATACTTACTAACTAAATCTGGGTATTCCCTAATTGCATCTGATATTGAACAAAAAATCACACCCACCTTCTCTAACTCCTTCCTATGTGTTATTACAATACATACACTATCAAGAACACCATCAACATCAACATTAGCCAATCCTTTATGTTCACTTACTGGAATTTGAAGTTCATCACATTTCCTAATAAGCTCAGGATCAGCCTTATCGAGGCTATTCAAAGTTGGCTTCTTTTTGGGTTCCGAATGATAACATAAATCCTGAAAATCAATCGGAATGGTACCGATTGTCTGACCACTTGGGTTCAGTCATTTTCAAGAATTTCTCATAAGAATTCAATCTAAACTCAAGAACTCAATTGGGTTCGTTCTTTCACGATGAAATCAATCGAATTGTTTCTTCGAAAGCCCTTTCGTGATCGAAAACGAGTCGATTTGTTCCTTGAAACCCCACTTGTAGTCACGTTTAAGGAGTTTCTTAATTGGGTCGTCATTATTTGAATTGGGTTCGTGCCCAATGTCTGCTCTGATCTTGAAAAATCTGAAATTTGTGATTTAGGGGTTTGAAAGTTTCGGAATTTCGAGTTTTGGGTAAAACCCTTTTGGAATTTTGGGTGTTTCGGCGTGGATGAGAGGAGAGAAGTTTGAAACACTGTTAGGAAGAAGACAACCCGTTGATGGCGATTCAAAAGAGGACAAACCCTACCGATCATTTGGTAATTGTCCTTTTAATAATTTCCTTTCGCTGATTTTTTTTTCTCTTTTATAAAAACTTTTTTAAATAAAAAAACTTGAGCGAAGCACAAATAAATCATAATTGATAATATTATGAGTTATATTTAGTCTTTTTTTGTCCTTATAAATCCAAATGTTCCATTTGAGTAGAAATTGCACAAAATGGTAACATTACACCTATGTGTATAATTATTTTGAGGGAGAAATGTAGGATTTCCAATAGGATGAAATTTCACATTTAGTCCAAACTCCCTATACATTTTTATGTTTTTCCTTCCTTGATGAATGAATCCCACACTACCAGAATGGAAAGATTCTCAAACCACTGTGACATCGTTCAAATTTGTTGAGGAAATCTATAAAAACTTAAATGTTGGAGAAGAATTTCTACACATAATATATAATTTCCACATTCAAATTTGGGGATGCAAGCCCTACATTGTTTACTGTGAGATTTGGACAAACACAAACAGACGTAGAATTGGAGCTGATCGAGACTGAGTTTGCAGAATCGTCTAGGATTATAGAAATTAGAACGATGACAATGAAGCGCGATGGTAAGCGATGTTTGTTTTTGTATAATTGTAATGTTCAACTTGATGTTAGGGTTCATCTATGTGAATAAAAATCTCGAATGTTTACAATATGCATGCGTAATATGTGATTTTTGGGCATTTTCGTCATCGTTGTTGATGTTGATGTTGTCTTGTGTTTCATTCTCTGAGTTCTTCTTCCCTTGTCTTGAGTGTGACGTTTGAAAGTGGACACATTGGGTATTGATATTTCAAATTAAAAAATTAGGGTAAAATAAATCCTAATTGGTGTGGGATACAGTTAATGTTAATGGGATACAATTAATGTTGATGGGACACTCGTTCAAGAAATGCCATTGTTGTCGTATGTGGTTGGTGGATTTGATTTTTCAGAGATAGTTTGGCAATGTTAATGTGACAGTTAATTGTTCGCATTATGGACACAGTTAATGCTAATGGGACACTAAACTATTTTTTGGGATACATTTGATTTGTAAATGAGACATTCCATTTGGGAGTCATGATAGTGTTGGAATCATCAACTCTCATGGGTTGTGTTAAAATATGTTAGTATTATATGTTAGTGATGTTAGTATTCTATGTTAGTATTGCTAGTGTTATCATTATGTTTAGTACAGCATTATGTTAGCTTTAATAATTATCCTTTGCTTTATGCCACCCTATGTATCTTTGCCTCTCTATAAAAGAGAGTGCACATCTCCTTGTAATATACACAGAATATCAACACATTAATCAATAATACAATTCTCTATTTCTTTTTATACATTGAATTTTAACATGGTATCAGAGCAAGGTTAAGAACCTAGTCATTCTGCCTCACCGGCGGGCGGCAGCCTCGCCTTGGCCGCCCGCCGGACCTCTACACATACCCTAGCTTCCTCTATCTCAGTCACTGTCCTAGCCCCTCCCTCGGGCATGCTCTCTCTCTCTCTCTCTCTCTAACACTCTCACACCCAATACACTTCCATCCATAGCTGCAAACGCTTATATCCAAATAATATCAGTTTGATCTCTTTGCTTATCTCTGTTTACAACCCCTTCTCTCCAATAAAATTGGTTGAAGAAGACCCATGTCAACTTCAGACGGAGTAGCCAACGGCGTAATTAACGGCGCAATTATTGAGCAGCAACGCCTCCAGCCGCCTGGAAACGGCGCTCTATCTGTCAAGAAGCCACCGGCGAAAGACCGACCCAGCAAAGTCGACGGCCGAGGGCGCCGCATCCGCATGCCGATCATCTGCGCCGCCAGGGTCTTCCAGCTCACTCGCGAGCTGGGCCACAAGTCCGACGGCCAGACCATCGAGTGGCTCCTCCGCCAAGCCGAGCCATCTCTCATCGCCGCCACCGGCACCGGCACAACTCTGGCAAGCTTCTCCACCGTCTCAGTCTCCGTCAGAAACTCCTCCTTCCTCCGCCGCCGCTAGTTCGTCTTCTAGATTTCCGATCACCGCCGCGAATCGGTGCATCCACCAGATATGGAAGCCGTTGCTTTCTTTTTTTTTTCCTGGTTCCGCTTTCTGCAAGGTGTTTGGAAGGATGGAAAAATAACTTCTTCAGGGAGGAAAAGTGATGCTAGAAACATGGGGAAGAAGGGAAGTTGGTTTTCTGCCATCAAGAGGGTTTTCATACCCCTGTCAATGGATCGGAGAAGACAAGTTCCAAGGAAAAGAAGAAGGGTTGCTTCTCCAACAGTTGTGTCTCCCAGAGCTACTTTTCAACGAGTTCCGTCTCCCATAGCTATTCCCTGACAGTGCTTGTTCTCCACCTCCCTCTTTTTCTAAATTATTCCCTGACAGTGCTTGTTCTCTACCTCCCTCTTTTTTCTAAACAATATTTTTTTATCACCGCCCACTCCATGATTTCAAATTTTTTTTTTATTCTTATCATTATTACTCCGAGTTACTACATTCTCATCAATTTTCCTTTATCTATATATATATATATATACTTTCCAACCCCCATCTACTTTCCTATTTCTTTTCTTTTTTTTTATATTTACTTTACTCCATCTTTTGACAAGCCCCCGCCACACAAAGCAAACCCATCCTCTTCCTTTTCCATTAGTGGTAGGACCCGCCCCACCACATTTGAATCTCCCATTTTTTTTCTTTATTTTTTATTATTTTACCCCTCTATTTTCTACCTCTCCTTTTCTCTTCAATTTTCTTTTCTTTTATACTTTATTTTCTACCTCTCTATTTTTCGCCTTCCATCCGGCGAACATGGGTCTGAGTAAAAAAAAAAAAACCACACAGAAGAAGATTTGCACACCAAATTCATTTTATTCATATCGGGGTCAACCCCGATCCACATTTTACACCAAAAAAAAAAAAAACAAAACAAAATACAACCAAACAACCACATTCACAGGTGGGATTTTTCTTCTCTACTCTGCCGCCGGTCTTTTCTTCTTGCCTCCGTCCTGGCCGGCCCTTGCTGGTGTTGCCTCCGTGTCACCCACTCCACTGGGCATGCTCACTACTCCCTGCTCCTCCACTGCAGCATATGGCGGCCCTCCAAATCGGAACATCACGGTGGCCTTCTACTTCAGCTCCTTGTTTTCCGTCTTTAGCACGCTTATCTCTGCTCGCGCATCCTTATACATGCGTTGGAACAGAGCCAGTTGGGCGTTTAATTGCTGCACTTCATTTGTTCTACTCTGCAACCGGTGCGACAAGTTTGTGACCGCCGTCATGGACTCCACACATGCCTTCAAAGTATACTGATTAGCCTCCACATCCGTTTGCACTGCCATTTTTTGCTCCACCGACTGCATCGGAAAGTTCAACGGAGCAAACCCAGTGGTGTTTGGTTGAGGTTCACAGGACACCGCACCAGTTATCTCTCTTGTGGACTCGTTGAGGTCGGGAAAGAGAGTAAGCAGAGGGCGGGACGAAGAGGCCATTTTCTGGGCAACAGAGTGTTACAGAATATCTCTCGCAATAGAGTGTTACAGACACTCTCTCTCAACACATGAACAGAGTTTTTTCCGAGTTTTTTAGCGGGTTTTCTGCCTCAGCCTCAGCCTCCGCTTCGATTTATAAAGACCTTGAACGAAGAGGCAGACACGCGCATCATGCCCGCTCGGCGCTCGCCGACAACTTGGCCACGCCTTTTTGATGGCACGTCTTTTTATGGATTGGGCGACGCCTTTTGAATGGCCACGCCTTTTGACAGATTGGGCAACCTTTCGAGGGCGCGACTTTTTGAGGGCTGATATATAATATCCATGTATATTTTTCTGGGCAGCTATATACATCACTATACAGTGTCTTCTACACCGGTCAGCCGCGCGGTTTTATCGATTCTTTTCAACCTCAAAATAGGTTTCTATCTTCACAGCCTATTTGGAGTTTAGGGGGGTTATACACAGTATCATGTTCAAAGCACCTCATGGGTGCACTCCCTAAGTCGCCCTTGTGCATCAACCACAAACCTGCTACAAACGGTCCGACTGACCCCGTAAACTGTCCTGTACAACGGTCCGACATGACCCCATAAACTTGTCTTCTACAACGGTCTGACACACCACACAGTGTCTGCTACAACGGTCCGACAGTGATCCCCGTAAACTGTCTTCTACAACGGTCCGACATGACCACAACTGTCTTCTACTCGGTCTGGCACGAACACACAGTGTCTTGCTACATCGGTCCGACATGACCCGTAAACTCGTTTTCTACACGGTCCGACATGACCCCGTACAATGTCCTGCTACATCGGTCGACTGACCCCGTAACACTGTCTTCTACAGGTCCGCACATGAACCGTAAACTGTCCTCTACAAACGGTCCCAACATACCCCATAAACTGTCCCGACTTTGATTCGGGTTAGCATACCAGTGTCCTCTCAACGTTAATGACACCACCATCCAGTGCCTCTACCAAAACGTTATGACACCACGCATCACGTGGTCCTCTACAAACGTTTGACACACCATCCAGTGTCTTTCACCAACCGATCTGACACGACATAACAGTGTTCTGCCTATCCTCTTTATTTTTATTTTGTTCCTCTCTCCAAACTCAAGTTGGGTTAGTTTCTATCTCCTTGAGTTGCGGGGGGCTGTTAAAATATGTTAGTATTATTGTTAAGTGATGTGATTCTAGTGTTAGTTTGCTAGTGTTATCCATTATGTTTGTACAAGCATTTGTTAGCTTTTACAATAAATTATCCTTTGCTTTATGCACTATGTATCTTGCTCTCTATACAAGAGAGTGCACATCTCCTTGTATATACACAGAATATCAACACCATTAAATCAATAATACAATTCCTATTTCTTTTTATACATTTGAATTTTAACGGTTGGAATGTCAATATTTTGGTTTCGCATGTCGGTGGTTGCGTGAATTTCTTGTGTATGAATGACTGAAATTTTGATCTTGTTTGCCCTAGTTATCTCTATTATTGGTGTGGTCTCTATATTTGAAGATTCGTTTGTCAATATTAATGGGCTCACAAATGTTCACAATTGGTGATGTACTCTTTCCGTGGTGTTTACTTGTTCCATCGGCTTATCATCAACATACGTGGGGGTTTCTGCGTGACATATGCAGTTATGTGGAGATTTATGAATATTGTGAAAGTATGTGAACAAATGTATCATTTAAATTTGTGTAACCATTTTGGGACTCGTTTGGGAAGTGGTCTTTAATTTTAGTAGAACTTTTTAGTTTTTTGCTTATTTTAAGTAGGCTAAAATTTTGTGTTTGGAAAATGATTGGATTTTTGTGTTGATTGTGAGTTTGTGGAGAAAAGTGAAATGATTTGGGTTTGAATGTGATTTTTTGTCTTCATTAGCTATTTTAGCCTATTTTGTCTTTTTGGTGATTTTTAGAGCTAAATTGGCTATCTTTTTTTCTTCCCAAAACCCCAATCTTAACTTTGTATATTATTAATGTATCATTTATATGTTTAGTGTAGCCATTTTAATTTAAAAACTTTTAGTATTACTATTAATGATTGGAAATGTTTGTATATGCTGTTATGTTCATTTGTTATAGTGTTGTGTATCACTAAATAATGACAATGAGTCCATTATCGGTGTTTTTGGGTGGTCAACAACTTCATCATTTTTTGTTATGTAGATTATGTGAAGTTTATGGTACTTTTGTGAAGTATATGCGTATTTTTGAAGAATTTATTTGTTGACAACATTGTTACATTATCTTTAGGAAAATGTTTGGTGGTGCGATTTCTGTGACTCGAATGTGTTCAAAACGACGTCGTTTCTAGCACCCAACGACGTCGTTTTAACTCTTTTTTGGTGTTTCGAGCCAATCGAGCCATATTTTTTTCGGGGCCACCTAGCATTATTCGATTAATCATTATATGTGCCACATTTTCTTAATGTTACAAAATAAAGGCATCTACCAAAAGGCATCACAACACACTCACGCGTGATTCACTCATCTCAATCCACAAATAATGACTTTGTACAGCCTTACCTTCTCCAGACCCAAAACAGAAACGAGGGAAAGTAATTAAATCAAAAGAGTATTTCAGATAACTCAAATGGTTACCAAAAACTATTTACATTCACCTTTCCGAAAACAACATATGACTAAATAGTTCTAAAGAAAAATTTTTAAGACTAAATGAATCTAATTTTTTTTATATAAGATTTATGGTAAATTTATTCCAAAGAAAAAAATCACTAATTAACAAAATAATGAACTTGGTACCAACTTACTACAATAGGCTCGTTGTTTGAAAAAATATTTTCCATTTTGGTGACATATTTATTATAATAGAACGACAAGTTAACAACAATATTTTGGTCAATGGAAATAACCTATTTGTCATAAATAATTTTTCATATAAAAGATTTTTGAATTAGAACTCTTATCAATGTACCCGTACCTAACACACCTAACTCACCACCATATCATACCACGCCACCATCACTTGCTACTGCACCCCACTATGTGTACCGGTTGGTGTTTGGCTCATTTAAATTTTTTTTGCGCGCTTTATTTATTTTTTCGGTGCTAATTACACTAATGTTGTTTTGGTTGAGGGGATTTGAGGAAGGCGATTTGGAAAAAAGGAATGGAAAAGCTAGGTGAAATATAAATAAAACATGCCTAAATTTCAACATAGTTTCACAACACTTTTTCCCTTTCCCTTTCCAAAATCCCTCCCAAATCCTCCAACGCAAACACACGCAATAACATTATTTGTACGGCCAAAAATACATAAACTATTTTTTCTATCAATGGAGCGGTAATAGTAAGCAGTCCTATTGTTCGTTCTACCCCACCCTTAAAAATTTCAAAAGAATCTACGATTAAGTCCTGTGTAGGCAGTAACGGCGACTCTACAAATGGTTTACTGTCAAATGTTTGTGGTGATATTGCAGGGCCGCCCTGAGTTTTCCCGAGGCCTAAGGCAACTAATTTTTCGGGACAACTTTATTAAATATCTTATTAAAACTAAAATAAAAATCACTTTGTTTGTTTAAGAGTTTTCAAAAAATATTATCTAATTTACAATTTGTATTTTTTTTTATGATTTTTGTATTTGGTAACATTTTTCACAATGCAACCGTGTTAGAAATATAAATATTATAGTTTTTAAAGCGTATCTTAAATTAGATATATCTACAAAAATAAAATAAATACATTCAAATTCTTAAAATATTTTTAAAAAAAATACCTAAAAAAACACATAATTGGGCATAAAGCAGAAATAAAAAATAGGTTCACAAAAATTAGGCAACGACTAATCATATAGATATATTTTATATTTTATTTTTTTAAATTTGGACTATACAACTAAAACTTATAAATACTTTTTCAATTAGGCTTTTTATCAATTGGGCCAATAGATTTTGTTGAGGCATCCATTAAAATGGCTAATTAATTAACAGAATTGGATCATCTTAAAATTTTTATATAATACAAAACTAATTTGGGAGCCCTTTTTTGGGCCTAATTTTTTTATGGCCTTAGGCCCAGGCCTTACCGAGCCTTAGTCCAGGGCCGCGCCCTGGATATTTGGCCTTCATTTTCCACGAAAACAAGGAGGAAAAAAAACACATAAGCAAACATGGCCAATTTTCTCAATATAAGAGAACAACAAAAGGGTAAAATCCAAATTTCCAGGTAGAGCA